AGCCAGAGAACATGTGTGGATCAGACACTATTTTCAAGTTCTCTGACTCTGAACACATGGTGTACATATGTAACCCCTCAGTGAAACAGATCATCACTTGCAGATGATGCTGTTACTATTTGAAGAGGGGGATGACAGGAGGTAGGACTGAAGTTTTACTATTTGAAGATTGTATACAATAAGTTGGTGGTTTCACTTTATAGCTTGTAGTGTCAATACTGTCAAATCACCACCTCTGTGCTGACACTGGTGTCAGAGGTACAGGGCTGAATACAGAATCGTTTTTACCCATACACAGAATATGCAGTTGTATGAGACACCACTGGGACTTAATTCCATCTACCTGCCCCTTCCTATCCCTGTTCTGAGGCTCTGCTTTCTTCAGAGATAGTTAACTTAAACCTGGAAAAGTCTGCTAGAGCTATGAGCAGAACACTGAACTGTGAAAGAGCTATTCAAGTGGAAATGAAGCCACTTAACAGGCATTTGCCAACCCACGGTACAGACTGTCAGTTTCTGAATGTACTATTAATCCACATGACCTCAGTTTAAAATTTGTTTTAAAAATATTTCATTAGTGAGTTGCTGAAGATTTAAAAAAAAAAAATCACATCTCTAAAAAATCATCATCCCTTCCAACCTCCCCCAGGTTGCTGTCAGGCATAGGGGCACCAATTTAATAGTACTGCGTAGGGTAGGGATGTTAGCGTATAGTCATGTAAATGATTAAATGACAAGCTAGGGTTTATTGGTTAATCCAAACTACACCCCTCTCCCATGCTGCCTCCATGGGATGGCGGAGCAGCCTCGGTCTGTGGGGAGCTTGGGCCTCCTGTGGATAGAGCTTGCTTCTGCTGTGCACTGCTGCCTTTGTATTAGAGGCAGGGGAGTGGGTTTTTAAACCAGCTCCCAGCACAGACCAGCTCCCACCTGGCACCAGCGGCTGCTGGCCCCGCCCCTGGGGACCACTGAATAATTGTCTAACCACTAAGATGTTTGGTGCAGTTACACAATTATTAAACAATATCTAACATCCCTAGCGTAGAGACCAATTAATCCTAAGGATGGTTCTGGCTGAATGGGCCACATAGACTAAGCTCCATTCCCACACACATTGGAGCGAGGAACACAGGTGGGAGATGGTTGCCCTGTTGTGCCCAAGCTGTTCCAGATCTGTAGACAGAAGCCACCTCTCAGTTATGCTCATTTCACTCACCAATACCACGCTGTCTTCGAACTATCACTTTTACATTCAAAAATTGGCTCAAATCTTCACGAATCAGCAAGGATAAAAGTGCTCTCCAGCCCCCAACTCTTGGATGCTCTGTCAACCAAGAGGTCTCAGGGAAAGCTGGATAAATTATTATATGGACTGATCCTTGAGCTATGACTCCAAGGAGATTCCAGCTAGGGATGTAAACCATGGGCTGTGGGGGCTGCTCCAGCCCTGCTGCAGCTGGGGTCCTGCCAGTCAGGCTGCCTGTCAGTCAGGCCTCCAGTTAACCAGTTACCCCGTAAGCATGCCGGTAAGGCTAATGCTTTCTGAGTAACTGATTAACTATTTAAATGTTTACAACCCTAATTCTGGCATCCATACAAATATGAGTTAAGATACACTGAAGGCAATGTCAATCTTTAGCTGCCAAGCAGCCAGTCATTACACCTTGATAATGGGAATAATGGGGATATCTCCAAACACTTCACAAACAATCCTTCCCCTTTGAAAGGGAGGGCAGGTATCTCATCAGTTCAGAAATGGAGACACTGGAGAGAAAACAGTTGACCACAGAGCCTCACATTGGTTTCCCCAGACCCCAAGCTGTGACTAGATGTGCCTATTTAACAGTATTTTAAGTGCTGTAATAGCCATGTTGGCCCCAGGAAATGAGGTAATCCATTGTATTAGACCACTTCTGCTGCTGGAAGGTATAAGCTTTCAAACTTCAGAGCTCTATTCTCTCTCTGAGGAAAAAAGAAGTCTGATTTCCTTCTCCAGGCCTGAAGAGCTCCGTGAAACTTGAAAGCCTGCACCTTCCACCCACAGAAGCTGGTTCACTAAAAGCTATTAGGGTATGTCTACACTGCAAAGAGAATTCAAAATAACAGCCATTATTTCGAATTAACTTTAAGAGCGTCTATACATGCAAACCTCTATTTCGAAATTAATTCGAAATAGCGGAGTGCTAATTCGAATTTGGTAAACCTCATTCTACGAGGAGTAACACCAAATTCGAAATAGCAATTTTGAATTAAATACTGTGTAGACACTTAATTCGAAATAGGGGGCCTCCAGCCCTTGCCAGGGAGCCCTGGTGGCCACTCTGGGCACAAACAGGAAAACTTAACTCTCCTCTCCCCCATCCCCGGAGCCATTAAAGGGGTAGATCCTGGCCACAGTGCCTGTTCCAGCTCCAAGCCTGGCAGCCCAGAGCCAGCAGTGGCCAAAGGGGGCCC